ACAAAAGACAGCAACAAATGTAACTACTATATGTCAGATTAAACTTCTACAATAACAACTCTCTATGCTAACTGTAAGGGAAATAGAGACAAAATTGAAATATGTGAAAGAGAAAATGATAGAAGCAGATATTAGTGAACAATATGAGCATACAGAAATCCCTTTTTATTATTTTAATTTGCATAAAGTGTAATATATTTACTGAGGAAAAATTGAGGAAAACCTTAAAAAACAAAATTTATCAAAACTTTTACAATCCCAGAGGCAAATTATGGGGATAACAGATAACAGAATGACAGTTTGAAGGGACCTTGGAGGTCTTCTGGCCCAACTCCCTGCTCAAGCAGGAGACCCTATAACCGTGATGGCGAACCTATGACATGTGTGCCACAGGTGGTATGCATAGCCATATTGGTGGCCACGCAAGCTCAATGTCAACTTGCAAAGCTTTCAAGTTGCCATGAGCAGGAGGGAGGGAGAACTGATAGAACTGATTGGTTTCCCTACTGAAGTGCATTCCATACATTCTTCCTGACCGCAATCAGAAGGAGGATGTTGGATTTCACAGCCAGCCAAAGTGGTTAATTGGAGAATGTGATTTATGACATGGCCAGAGAGGAGGGGAGAGACAGGGTCATAGGGGAACGTAAATCTACGTGGGATTAGTTCTAACTGCATCCGGATATTGCAGAAATGGTGCTCCTAATAAATGACTGTATTTCTTTTGAAGTTCGGCTCATGGCTCATGAATTAATTAGGGCATCTTTTGGAAACTTCACACTCAGCTCCTTTTCAGGCCTTCTGGGCCCATAAGAAGTAGGGAAAGAGGCTATTTCCTGCCTCCGGAGGACCTGGGGGGGGAGGCCCATTTTTCTCTCTCCAGAGCCTCCAGAGCCTTTCTAGGAGTCTGGGGAGGGCGAAAATGGCCTTCCCCACCACTACCCTGGAGGCCCTCCAGTGTTAGTAATCTTGTATTCCTCAAATTAATCCACTCTTTCGCCCACTGCTTGGTAGTATAGCTCCCAATCCAGAAGACTGAAACCTCCTCTACTCTTAACATCATGTAGCATTTTTAATTTTATTCTTCACTTTTTTACCTTGCCATAAAATTTTAATATTATCTTATTTAGTTCTTCAAAATATTTTCCCCCAGCTTTATTGGGATTGTCTGAAACGGGTACAATAATCTCAGCAAGATATTCATCTTAATTGTAGCTATTCTACCCAATAGGGACAATTGTAAGGTTTTCCAGTTTTCCAAGTCCATTTTAATTTGTGCTTTCAGTTTATCGTAGTTATCGTCTTTGAGAGATACACATCTTGCTGTTAATTGGACTCCTAAATATTTAACTTTCTTTACAATCTGCATGTTCATCATTCGTGTAAATTCTCTCTCCTGTTTATCTGTAAAGATTTTAACCAATATTTTCATTTTCTCTTTGTTTATTTTCAGTCCTGCAATTGCACCATATTCTTCTATCTTTGCACTTAATTTAGGTCCTGTTTCCTGTGGATCTTCTAGAATAAGCCCCAAGTCATCAGCGAATGCCTGTAATTTATACTCCTCCTTCTTTATTCTCATGCCTTTTATTTCACTATCTTGTCTAACGTTTCTAGCTAATACCTCTAAGGTTAATATAAATAACCTTGCCTTGTACCTTTCGTTATATTAAAGTTCTCAGTCATATCACCGTTTATAATCACCTTTGCTGTTTGTTTATGGTATAGTGTCTTAATCATACTAATAAATGTTTCTCCAAAGTCCATATGTTTTAATTGTAAGAACATAAACTGCCAACTCAAATTGTCAAAAGATTTCTGTGCATCAAGAAAAATCAATGCCATCTGCTTTCCGGAGTGCATCTCATAGTATTCCAATGTATTCAGGATCATCCACATATTATTTTTAATTTGCCTTTTGGGTAAAAATCCATTCTGATCTACATTACAAAGTCACAAGAATCTTTTCAGTCTTCTTGCAATCATTGAGGCATAAATTTTATAGTCTACATTTAACAATGATATCGGTCTATAGTTTTTTATTTGTAATATATCAGAGTCTTCTTTAGGTATCAGTGTTATAATTGCTTCTGTCCATGTTTTGGGAATCTTTGTTCAAACAATGCTTGTTGTAGACTTCAAGTATAAATAGACCTAAGGTATCTTGTAAGTACTTATAAAATTCTGCTGGTAAGCCATCTGGTCCTGGTGTTTTGTCATTTTTTTGCCTTTTAATTGCTTCCATTAATTCCATCATTGTTATTCTTTCCTTCAACACTGTCTTCACTTCTTCTGACACTTTTGGTAAGTTGGCTTCTTCCATATATTGTTTAATTTTATCTTCTACTATATTTTCTTTATTGTATAGTTTTTCATAAAATTCTTTTTTTCTTATCTTCATTTTTGGGTCAAATTGTACCTGTCTCATCTCACAGTTTATGTATCAATTTCTTTTCTTTCTCTTTTTTAAGTCTGAATGCTAATCATCTCTCCGGCTTGTTTGCATTCTTGAAAAAGTTCTGTTTGTCTGCTTTAATTTTTTGTGGCAGTTCCTCTTTCTCTAAAATATTTAATTCAGGTTTTACTAATTCCATTTGGTTTTTACCATTTAGTTTTTGTGGATTTCTCTGCAATTCCAATTCGAGTTTTTTATAGTCTTCTTCTAATCCCTTTCATCTTTTCTTCTTCTCCTTAATTTTCCTTCCTATATAGGAGATCGCTAATCTCCTAAAATATGCTTTTGCCATATCCCATACATTTTGCAGGGATGTTTCTCCATTTTTATTCTTTTTAAAAAAGAAATCCATTTTCTTCTCCATTTTTTGTATAAACTCTTTATCTTTCAGTGCTGACTTCTTTAATGTCCATCTTGGTTTTCTTATTTGTCCTTTCCATTTAGCTTTTATTGAATTATGGTCTACCCAAATATTTGACTCCACTTCTACCATGTTCGAGAAGTTTGAACTTGTGAGGTTTTCTTTTACAGCACGTTTCCCTGGACACAACGGTAAGGAAAGCAACAGAGCTTGAAAGGTAAGACCTGAATCCTGCTTCTCACCTGCCCCACCTGCCACCCCCAAATTGCATCCCTAAAGGAGGCAGGTGGCTAACCAAGTGGCAGAAGCCCTGCCATGCCCAGCAAGGAGGGGAGAAGAGATGGCAAGGGGAGCCACGTCTCGCTCCACGCGTCTTGCTTCTCCCCACCCCACCTGCCACCCCTCTCAATAAAGAGACGGCGGGGAAGGGAAGCAGCTATTGGGGTGGGTGGGATGTGTTGGGCAGCTCAGTCGGTGCAAAGAACAGGGAGGGGAGGGCATGTCCCCCCTCCCCCCCCTAGTCTCACCTGAACTCATTTTAGTTGTGCGGCAAGCAACCAGAGGAAATGGCAGGACCGGCTGCGCATGCGTGCAAGTAGTTGGTGGGGGGGGCTTATTTTGAGGGGGTGTCTTATATTACCACATGCGCTGAAAAGCCCGATTGGGCTTATTATCCGGACATGTCTTATTTTTGGGAAAACATGGTACTTTTTGTATATTCTCTTGCAATTCCGATGACATCCATATCATGTCAATTCTTGACCATGATTTATGCATATTTAAATAGAAAGTGTATTGTTTTTTCTCCAGTTTGGATTCTCTCCAAGCATCTTTAATTCCTATTTTCTCTGTCATTTTGAAAAAGGTCTTTGGTAAGGTTCTCCTAGCTTTTTGGTTTCTTTTACTACTTTTATAGTCTAATTTTACATCAACAATTGCATTGAAATTTCCTACAATACAAATGTTATCGTACTCCGTTTCTATAATTTTCTTATGTAGTTGTTCATAAAAGACTTCTTGCTTGGTATTTGGTGCATATATTACTGTTAATAGTGTCCATTTAAAATTTATCATTACTTCTACCATCAGAATTCTCTCCTCTTCATCTTTGTAGATTTGTTTTGATTCTATTGATTCTTTGATGAAGAGGGCTACCCCTCTTTTTTTCTGCTGTGCTAATGAGGCATGTAGTTTCCCTATTTTAGGGTTTTCCAAAAGTTTTTAATGGTCATTTTTAATATGTACTTCCTGGAGACAAATCAAATCTAAGTTCAATTTTTTTAATTTGTTAAAAAAAATTCCTTTTCACTAACTGTTTTGAAGAACAATTTTTACAATCAGAAAATGATGAATTCTATTTTATAAGGAGATGTAATGCCAGAATCTTGGAAAGAAGCCAATATTGCTTTCTTACCAAAGGAAGGACAAGGTTTAACTTTTATTAAAAATTATAGGCCACTTTCTTTATTGAATAATAATTTTGAAGTGTTCTCATCAATTTTAGCAACCATTTTTTTGTAAAAAAAAGTTTTTACAAGAGTTTATCCTTGAAAATCAATGTGGATTTTTACCTAAAACTCAATTAAAAGATCATGTGACATAATGCGTTGAATGTAATAAAATATTTACAGCAATATAATGAAAAACAAACCACATTATTTTTTTTAGATGCTGACAAAGCTTTTGACAATTTGAACTGGTCCTTTAAAGTTCTGGAAAAGACAGATTTTGGTGAGAATTTATTTCACAGAATCAAGTCAATATTTACATCCCAAAAGGCATGAATTATAGTTATTAATGATTTGATTTAAACCATATAAAATCCAAAAGGGACAAGATTATCCTTTGTCTCCTTTGTTGTTTATTTTCATTTTTGAAGATTTGAATAGAGACATTAGGCAAAATGAGAAGATAATAGGCTTAAAAATTAAAAATAAGACCTTTAAATTGAGAGCTTTTCCTGAATATTTGGTTTTGATTTTACCCCCTGAAAGGGATTGAATCTTGAAAAAAATTGAAAGAATTTGGAATGTTAGCAGGTTTTAAGAGTAATAACAAAAAACAAAAATGTTGTTTAAAAATATGACTAGAAAAAAATCAAAGATGTTTGATGAAGAAATCTGGTTTTCTAACATGTCCAACTCCTATTTTCATATAATAAAATTGACATAAAAATGCTCTTACACATTATTCTTTTTATTTCCTCCAAAACAGAATATATTTTAAGCAGCATCCCGTCTTTTGGATTGTGGCTGTAGATTTAGACATACGTAGCTCTGGATATCACAAGGCCTTATTGGGGGCCACAGATGTCAAAGCTATCTCTCCCTCTGTAGATGTAAAGACAGGGTGTCATAAATGGGGTTGATCTAGTCCAGAAGTGTCAAACTCGATTTCATTGAAGGCTGCATCAGGGTTGTGTTTGACCTCGGAGGGCCAGGGGTGGTGGTTGGTGTGGCCAGGGGTGGGCATGGTCATGGTGGACATGGCTGGGGTGGACGTGGTCATGGTGAGCATTTGACACAGGCTCAAGATGCATTTTTCCCCTTCTTTTCTTTCTTTCCACAATTCTTTACTATAATCATTTTCCTATCTCTTCTACCAGATATTACTGGCAAACATTTATTACTTATTCTTCATACTCCACTAAACTTTTTATTTCTTTTCCAGGCAGCAAAGCTATTTATACTATTGTATTTTTATTATTCAATTAATAATAAAAATACAATAGCACAAAAAACATGATAATACAAGACTTAACAGCAGAGGTAAATTTCCAAGATAGTAAATAGAAACAGCTGTCAATTATAGATTGTTGATTGTAGATTAAATGGACCTACACTACGTAAAATCTGGCATTAAACTGTAGTATTAACATAGGATGTTGCTTGTTTTCTATCCAGATCAGGCACTTACTTGAGGCCACATAATTGTAATCCAGTCCAATCCAGTCCTCCTGTAGCACTGCCTGCCGAAAACGGGCCACGCAGAGTGTAGTAGTAGTTTTTGGCTGGCAGAGCGCTGCTGGAGGCTGGAAAGGCCAGAAATGGGCCACGCGGGGGCCACGTGGCGCCTCCGCATGGCCCGTTTTCAGCTGGCAGAGTGCTGCAGGAGGCCGTGGAGGCTGAAAACGGGCCACAAGGGGCCACACGTCCCCCCCCATGGTCTGTTTTGGCCAGCAGAGGCATCGTGGGCTGATCCTTTGATATTTCCAGGCCGGCCCTGCGGGCCAGTTTTAAGCACCCCACAGACCGGATCCAGTCCAAGGGCCTTGAGTTTAACACCCCTGATCTAGTCTAAATAGTGATCTTCCAGACTAGGGCCAACCTTACCTGCCACCTCTCACTCTTCTAGCATTAGTAATTTGTGGTATTGCAGCATCTCCTCTTTCATAGTGGAACTAACTTTTCCAGAGAGGTCATCTGTGATCCTGGGTTCATAGTAGGGAGCTTTAAGGGAACTTCAGCCTCAGTGGAGTTAGGAACTGATTCCATTTCTTCCAAAAATTGGCAAGGGGAGTGGCTTGTGTGCTACAGGTCCTTCCAAATTATTCTCCTTGTCATCCAGCTTGTTCTTTTGCTGCTACTGCTGCTGCTGCTGCTGATAGATCAGGATTTCAGTGGCCACCATGGACAAGGCTACGATGGTAGCTAAGAAGTCTCCAATGATGGCTCTATTGGTGGCTGTGCCAGTCATATTGGGCTTCTCCTGGACAAGAACAAGTTACTGCATCAAAACTTGCCCCATGTAATTGGTGTTGGCAGCTAAAGGTGTTTCTCATTAATCAATGACTTCCACTGACTTTGGGTGCAGTCCTCTGGATGTGGTCCAGGAGAAATCTTAACAGGGTGGGATTTCCCCTCATGCTGCAGATGAATGTGGCCTCATTGAGGGTCAGATACCAGTTTTCATCGTAGCCCTCTATGCAACCTCAGGAACATTCAACATGGAAAGCCAGGGACAGACTCATGCTGTGGCAGTTCAACAAGGCAGGTGATCTGTTGCTTGTTGGCTTCCTTGGTGAGAAGCATGTTGTAGTGGCTGATGACAGTGACAGTGCCATCGGAGTTGTTTATCTGCTTGGCACTGAAATTACCATGCAGCTTCAACTGCCAGGTGATGCAAGCTGGCAGCTTCTCATTTGTGGATGTGCACACAGCCATAAGCTGCTTTGTGTTGCTAGCCTTCACTTCCTCAGCTCAGTGTTGCCTATGGGTTTGGCCAGGATAACCAGGTTGTTGGTTTCTACTTCATTGCCATTGAGATATGTAGCAACTTGCATATGTAGGTGACTTTATCCATCAAGAAGAGGTGTTCAACTGCCAGTATGGCATCTATCAAGCAAAATGTGAGAAAACAAGATCCGCCTTCTCCATTGGATAATTTTGTTCATGCGATAGATTGTAGACAACCAGTCTCTGTTATTGCGATTTTGTAGGGCAGGACTGCCTTCTTCCCCAGGTAGCTGGTGACCCCATTGTGGACTGTCACTTGCTGGATGAATACAATAGAGGCAGCTTCAGAGGTGCAAGCGAATGGCGGTGGAGAAGGCGAGCAGTAGTAGTGGGTCCTCCACTGACGATGGTGCTCAATACTTGGCTGCACCGCAAATCTACCTCAGACACTCCAGAGTGGCTAAGAAGAGAAAATGTCGGGTTTGAAGGGTACGCTGGAGGCAACAGATTAAAAACCTGAACTACTGACAATGAAGGTGACTGTGCAGTTTGGAATAAATAAGACATCTTGAAGGAAGGGGTGGAAAAAAAAACTTTTATTTAAAAAAAAAACATGTCCATTAACAACTAACTGAAGAACATTTAGTATTTCTTATATATATATCTATATAGCAATTGAAGTATCTATAATTAAATATAATTAATATCTACTTTTGACTTATTATATATTTAGATAATGCTTATCTTTATTTACATATACATATACATATATTGAAATATTTATAACTTGTATTAATCCATAATAATCTTTGTGTATCTATATATTTATATATTTAATTCTGCATATTAATAGACCCTCACTTAATTGTAAGTGAATAGAGAAGTATACATAGAGATATAGAAATATATCCAAGGTTGCTAACTGTAATGGTAATAGAAGTTTAGGAAGGAAAGAATACATTTATGAAGTATTGATTACTATTGATTTGTATTATTATTGATTTATATATTTATATAGTATACATTATATTATATTATATATTATATATTAATAATTACTAATCAAATATTAATAGTGTACTAAACAATTGTTAGAAATTGGAATTTACTTAATTAAGGATTTTATCATAGTATAATAAGAGATTATTGGGGAACATTATAACAGTTAAAGGGAAAGAATATAAAGGAAATACGATAGGATAAAGATTGGAAGAGAGGAATAAAGAAATACGGCTGATAAATACACACACACACACACACATATGGTATTGTGGAAAAACTTTTTTAGAAATATCAAAATGACAAGCCCAACTACCACAGTCACCAAAATAGGGGGGGGGGGAATAACTTCAATGACGGCTTCCCCCTCAGGATCAAAGTTGGCAGAAGCCATGTTGGGAGGAGAAAAAGTGGGCTCTACCATCAATTTACAATATATGCAGTCAACCTTATTTGCGATACAAGAAACAATGTTAAAAATGCAGGAAGTCATGACAACCAATCACAAAGACATCAAGAATGACATGGGAGAAGTAAAGGGGGAGATAAAGGAGGAGATACGAAAGCTAGATGATAAAATTTGTACAATGCAGGAGATGATAATTAAAAACGAACAAAAGATAAAGTTGGTAGAGGCTAAAACGGACCATATGGAGAAAAAAAATAGACATAGTAATGAATAAAATGATGGCAGAACATAGAGAACTGGAAGGAGCCATAATAAACTTGGAGATGGAGAAATCAATGGTATATCTCCGCTTTCAAAATATCCCAGAAAACAAGGAAGAAAATCTCCCTGCACTGATGGCTAAGCTACTAGTGGAAATATTGCAAAAAGGTAAACAAGAATTGGAAAATGAAATTGATGAGGCATATAGGATCCACACGAATTATGCACGGAGGAATAGACTCCTGAGAGAAGTCCACGTTAAATTTGTCAGGAAAAAAATAAGAGATGAAATATATAGTAAAACACGAGAAGACCCACTGATGTTCAATGGAAAGGAGATTACTATACTGAAATAAATTCCAAAAAGAGTAAGAGACCAAAGACGAAGTTATCATTTTCTCTCTACACAATTACTATAATATAGAGTGATGTTTTGATGGCTCATCCCAGAAGGAATGTTGATAACATGGCAGAAGAAAAAATTTCGGATTGACACATTAGAAAAGGCTCAGGAGTTCTATGATCACTATATAAGTGGGGAAGACGAACAAGATAGCAGGGAAGAAGAAGGAGAAAGTAAAAGCCAGGAAGATCAGATTTCGGAAGAAAAAATTGTAGAACAAGACACAAGAGACCATAAGGAAGTACAGCGTCAAGTACGGGAAGGAGCCAGAACCATAGCACAGACCGAGAACAGAGCGAGGAGAGGACTGAGATTAATGGATAAGTAAGAAGATGGAAAATGGAATAAAGATGGTGTCACTAAATATAAATGGCATCAACTCAGCTACTAAATGTAAACAAATACTATCAAGATTACATAAAGAGAAAATGGATATCATCTGCCTCCAGGAGGTACGTATTAAGGAAAAACATAGTGATCTCATAAAAAGTCCTAAATTAGGGGAAGTATTTTCGGCATTGGCACAGAATAAAAAAAGAGGGATTGCTGTATATATAAAATATTGGTTAACCCCTAGGAAAATATTTAGTGCCAATAAATTGGATTATAAAACAGTGAAAGAAAACAAAAATAAAAGATGAAAATTACCAAACGCATTTTTCGAAATGGCAAAAGAGTTTAATCTAGATGATGCATGGAAACAATTAAATATACAGAAAAAACAATACACTTTCTTTTCTCGTCCACATACCTCATGGTCTCGCATAGACATGGCTTGGATGAACCCAGAATTGATCAATATTCTAGAAGAGATGGATATCATGCCGAACACTTGGGCGGACCATAGTCCCTTAGTATTAAAATGGAACGGTAGGGGAAAAAAGAAGAGATGGACATTAGATCAAAGAATTGTATATTAAAAAGTTTTTTATTTTAAACACATTAAAAACAAAACATAGACATACAATATTTATAGAAAAATAAAAAAGAAAATATCACTTTTCTTTTCAGCTAAGTGCAGTGATCCATTCTTTCTATATATCAATATTTACAGATATTTTAGTATTAACTTATTTAACATTCATTTTCTACTTTCTATCATTCCTTCTATCTTATCAGTTGATCGAACACATTTTCCCTCTCCTTTCTTCATTCATTTATCTTATTTCCTTATTTTTCAACCATTCATACTATCTACTCCATACCTTGTAGTATTTTTATTCTTCTTTTCCCTTAATTTCTTTAGTTAGTTTATCTAATTCTGCGCATTCTAGAATTTTCTTAATTAAATCCTCTTCGGATGGTGAGTTTTCTTTCTTCCAATATTGCGCATATACAATATATATGCCGCAGTCAGTATATGCAATATGAGGTACTGTATTTCTTTAGTATAATTTTCTATCGAGATTCCTAACAAAAACTGTTCCAGTTCTCCCTCTATTGAATTCTGAATTATTTCTTCTATCCAAGTTTTAATTTTCGTCCAGAATTCCTTTGCAATTGGGCATGTCCACCACTGATGGTAGTATGTTCCATAACTAGTCTTGCACTTCCAACACTTCGAGGAGTTGCTAGGGAACATTTTTGCAATTCTGGCTGGGGGGAGATGCCATCTATGAAACATTTTCATCTGGTTTTCCTTGTATGCCATTGCAATTGTCAATTTCATATTCGTTCTCCACATCTTCTCCCACTTCTCTAATTCTATCACATGGTTAAAAATTTTTGTCCATTTGATCATTGTGTTTTTCACTGTTTCCTTTTCCATTTTATGCCACAATAGAAATTTATATAATCTACTGATTGGTTTTCGTTCATTCCCTAATAGAATTTTATCTAGTTCAGTTTGTTCTAGTCGGACTTGATCCTTTTTTATCTCCTCTGTATACTTTAGATCAAAGAATTGTAAAAGAGAAACTTATTCACAAATAATGGAGAAGGAATTAAAGATGTTTTTTAAAGAGAATAGGAATGAAGATACTACAATACAAAACCTTTGGGACACCGGCAAAGCTTATATGAGGGGGATAATTAGTGTGTATATGGCAAGGAGAAACAAAGAGAAGAAGGAACAACAAACATCAATATTGGAGAAGCTGAAAAAATTAGAATTATCACTTCAGAAAGATCCCCAAAACAGGGAAATCAGAAAGGAAATAGAGTTAATGAAACATAAAATTAATATACTATAACAGGAAGAAATGATAAGGAGTATAAAATTGGCAAAACAAAACTATTTTGAATCGGCAAATAAACCAGGGAGATGGCTCGCCCATAAATTGAAAAAAGAAAAAGCTAAAAAAATGATACAATATTTATGAGATGAGCAAGGAAATTTGCACCATAGAATTGAGGGGGAAAAAATATTATTCAAAATTATTTTCAAATACTGTATAGTCAAGAAAACATTAAAGAAGAAAATATAATAAATTACCTATAGGAGAGGAATTTGCCAAGTATAACGGATGAAGATAGGGAAATGTTGAATGGGGAAATTACTTTAACAGAGTTAAGAGAGGCAATTAAAAAACAGAAAAATAACAAAACACCAGGGACAGATGGAATTCCGGCGGAAGTATATAAAAAATTTCAGGAAGTTTTGGAAGAAATTATGTTGGATATATATAATGAGGTATTAGAGAAAGCCAAAATGCCAAATTTGTGGATGGAGGCATATATAGCAGTAATTCCAAAAGAAAATACGGACAATCAATTCATTCAAAACTATAGGCCAATCTTGCTGTTAAATGCCGACTATAAAATCCTGACAACAATAATAGCAGAAAGAACTAAAAAAGATATTAAATAAAATAATTCATTCGGATCAAAACGGGTTTTTACCCAAACAACAAATTAAAAACAATACAAGGATTATTTTGAATATTTTAGAATACTATGAGGTGCATCCAGAAAAACAATTGGCAGTAATAATGATAGATGCACAAAATGTGTTCAACAACTTGAATTGACAGTTTTTAATTAATCAATTAATCGGGATGAAATTTGGTGAAAAATTTATAGAAATGATTAAAACCATTTATTCTAAGCAAACAACAAAATTATGGTCAATGGAGATCTTACAGAAAAAGTAGATATAAATAAAGGGGTTAGACAAGGCTGTCCATTGTCCCCCTCTTATTCATCCTTTCATTGGAAATATTATTGGTGCTGGTAAGGGGAAATAAGGAAATAAAAGGGTTAAAAATTAAAAGAGAAGAATACAAAACACAGGCCTTTGCAGACAACATGGCATTTATATTAGAGGACCCTTTGGAAACAGGAGAAAAACTCCTACTAGAAATAGAGAAATTTGGAATAGTAGCAGGCCTGAAAATAAATAAAAACAAAACAAAGGTAATTACTAAGAACCTCAGGCAAGGCCAAAACAAGAAATTAGAGGAAGAACTAGGAATTCAAATTGTCAAAAAGGCAAAGTACCTGGGCATTTGGCTCATGACAAGAACATCTTCAATAAAGGAAGACAACTACTCAAAATTATTGCAACAAATTTTAAAAGATTTAGAAAATTGGGCAAAACTACAAATTTCTTTGATTGAGAGAATCGCCACGATAAAGATGAATATCTTACCCAAAATTTTATATTTGTTTCAAACAGTACCTATAAAATTGGGGAAAACCTTTTTTTGATAAATTGAATAAAATCATTAGTAAATTATATGGTTAATGAAAAAACCAAGAATCAAAATTAAAATGTTACAAGATACCAGAAGTAAGGGTGGCTTTGGCCTTCCAGACTGGGAACTGTACTATCAGGCAGCAATAATGTCATGGCTCAAGGAATGGATAAATCTAAAGAATGGAAGAATTTTAACAATTGAGGGTCAAGACTTGCAGAAAGGTTGGCATGCCTTTATTTGGGATGGGAAAGACAAAACCCATAAATATTTCCAGAGGCATCAAGTGAGGGAAGTACTATTAGAAACTTGGATGAAAATTAAAAGGAACTTCTATCCAAAAATCCCAAAATGGGTGTCGACAATGGAAGTCTTGGTCTACCCTAATTTAATTGATCTCAACAAAATAGTAACATATAAGGAATTATTAGATAGATTAGGGAATTTAAAATCTAGACAAAAATTATTGGATGAAGGAATTAAAATTGATTGGTGGTCCTATTTACAAATACAAACAAAATACAAAAAAGATTTAGAACTATATGGATTCCAAACTGACCAACAAGAAATGGATAAAATATTACCTGGGACCAATGAGAAAATAATTACCAAAATATATAAATGCCTCCTTCAATTCAAAATGGAGAAGAAAATGGCAAAGGAAACGATAATTTGGGCGAAAAACTTTGGGTATAATAATTATGGGAAAAATTATGGGGAACAAATTATAAGATGACATTGTTGGCCGCCTATAAAGAAAATATTTACAAAATGTTTTATAGGTGGCATTTACCCCCAGCAAGATTGGCCAAGATATCCCAAAAAAATGCACCAAATTGTTGGAAATGCAATCATCAACATGGGACATATTTCCACATGTGGTGGACATGTCCCAAAGCAAAGGCATATTGGTTAAAAATCCAAAAATGGTTAGAGGAAATGACAGGGGAAAAAATTGCTATGAAACCTGAACTATTTTTATTGGGAATTATAGAAGAGAAGATTAGGAAAGGAATTTATTACCTTATACTTCACATAATTACGGCCGCCAGAATTTCATTTGCACAAAATTGGAAACACAGATTTGCTCCATCAAATACGATGATCATAAAAAAAGGTGCTAGAATGTGCAGAAGCAGATAAATTAACAATGGAACTAAAAGACCGAGAGTAAACGATTTATTACGAGACATGGAATAGATGGTATAACTGGTTGGAGAAAGAATCCAAAATCAATGTATAAATGTATAAACGTAAGAGAAGATATTAGAGAGGAGTGAAATTATTGTATAATAGATAGGTATAAATTGTAGTAAATATAGAAATTAGTAAGTAATATATAAAATGTATGTGTATATAGTTGGTTAAAAGATAAAATAGATATTATCAAAGATGCCGATATCGGAAAGCTGTAAAAATGTAACAAGGATGTTAAAGATGTAAACGTTGAATACAAATTATTAAAAAAAAAAAAAACACTTTTTTTCAGGATTTCTTGTGAGCCTGAAAATAAGTAGAGATGCTGCTAAAGCTAAAGTTCATGATAATTGATAGTTGACACTGTCATTGTCAACTTTTAATGATCACGTGGATAGATTTTCTACACGGAGGTCTCTCCCCAGCCTTCTTCAGATTTTATTTTATTTATTTAAAACATTTATAGAGCTGCCCATTTTTCAATAAATCTGGGGATCTCCCAATAAAAGATCTCCTAAAGGATTGGATTATTGCAACACACTGCATGAAGCTACCCTTGAAAAATATCTGGAAGCTTCAGCTGATGTAGAATGCGGCCATGCGAGCCATACTAGGTGCACAGATAACACATCTGCTCCATGAATCACTCTTGGTGCCAGTTTGCTTCTGGGTCCAATTCAAAGTGTTGGTTATTACCAGTAAAGGCATACATGGCATAGGACAAAACTGCCTATAGAACTACCTTCACCCCGTCACATCAGCCCATCCCACTCATTCAGGCAGGGAAGACATCCTACAGACACCGTCAATCAAGGAATTTCCACTGTTGAGAAGATGGCCTTTTCTGCCGTTGTTCCTGCATTGTGGAAAGTTTTGCCCCCAGAGGTGAGGAAAGCCCCCAATCTTTTGGCCTTTCCCTACGGGATCAAAACTGGGCTGTTTATCCTTGTGTGGGGGACACAAGATCTATTCAACTATGGGACTGGCTGGCCCCATGAGAACTCCCTGCGTGTATTAA